CGCCAGCACCAGCGCCGACGCCATCGTCAAGTTCATCAGCACCAGCAACAAGCACCAGCACCAACAAGACGACCCCAAGCAGCGACAAGCACCATGCCGTCGCGAGGGTGTCCATGTGGATGCAGCGCGGCAACTGCCCGCACATGGTCGAGTCCACGGCCCTGCTGACGGCCGCCATCCTCAGCGACGCCGAGAGCAAGGGCGGCGCCGGCACCTATGCTGTTCGCGCTGCCTACGCTGCTGCCTTCAGCCGGTACGTTTTACATCTTTCTCCAGAGTTCCCTCTCTTCTCCCTCTCCTCTGTCTCTGATATTATCACTTGTCTCTTTTCTGTTGTCCTCCATCATCTCAAGGGCCAAAAAAGGCTGTTTGTTAGTTCCAAGTTCAAGGTGCGGCGTGCCAGTGAGAGAAAGGAAAGTCTAGTAGGGGTGTTTTACGTTCCGTCCTACGCCCGCCTCCTCCTCTTCCTCCTTCTTTCTGCCCTTGGAGTCTTGTCTCTAGAGAGTGGCTTGAAACAATCTCAATCCTCCAGGGATCTGGGCCGCCTCTTCTCTTTTGTCACCTCTACATTTGGATTTCGGCGCATTTCACATCTCACATCTTTATTTGACTTTTCTGTCATTTTCACCCATCCTTCGACACAAACATACACACGCCCCCCCTCTCACCACCGAAGCAACGTACGTACCGTAGCCCACTCACCCTCACTCCCCCCTACCCGAGTCGGGTCCCGTCTGAAGGGCCATCAACAATCGCCTGATCTGCGCGACTGCTGGAAGCCACATACACCAAGACAGGCTTTCACTTACACGCACACCGCGCCGACCAGCACACCCACACCCTCTCTCTCCCCCCCTTCAAGATTCCCAGCAAGCCGGCGTGGTTTTGCAATTGGGCGTCTCACCTTGTTCGGGAAGCGTCAGCGGTACAGTACACTTGGGAGCTATGGTCTGAGGGACGTTCCTGGCATCGGGGGAAGCTTGGCCTGATTTGCTTGAGGCATGCTAAACTTCCTATGGCCTCTTTGAGGCCCGTCGCTGCAAACCCGGAATGCCATAGCTCGTTTCTCACCCTGTAGTCAATGGGCGCCGGTTCAAGAACCCACCCAGTATGGGTGTGAGGGCTTGCAAGTGTCTTGCCCAGATCATTCATTGCTCGAGCCTCCGGGCTTCGGGAGCCCTGCCTTTTCCGCCTCGGGTACACGGTGCACCCCTTGATTGATCAATCTGCCACTGTCACCGCCTGCCGATCGTTCGGTGTTGCTTACACTGCTCTTTTTTTCGTCTAGGTTCGTGACTGGGCTCTTGGACGGCCATCAGGATAAGCAACGCAAGCTGAGCATGTACTCGGTGGCAAAGACTATTGGCTTGCCGGCGACCTTTGTCGAGCTGCGGCACCAGGCGACGCACGAGACGCTGCCGTCTCTCGCGAAGCTGCGGTCCGCCGCGCGCAAAGCGCTGGTTTGGATCTGGGAGTATTACTGGCAGCACCTGGGGCCTAATGAGGTCGTGAGCCAGGCCCCCGAAAGGACGGGTCCCGTGGCCGTCGCCGCCGTCTCTGCCGCCCCTGTGCGCCGCGAAGTCGTGGTCGCGTTTCTGGAGGAGCAGGACGCTGGGAGGAGGGCTGAGATGAGGAAATGGATTGACGGGCTGGACGAGAGTCGGTTGCTGGCGACACTGGAGAAGATTATTGAGGCGCCGCCGAGCGACGCCGTCATGCTTGCGGCTCAGCGGTTATCAGAGGACATTGCGCGCAAGGGACAAGCAGATGGGCAGGGCGAGATGGAGGAGGACGAGGCTTCCGAGAGCGCTGGCACCGGATGGGCCAAGTTTGAGGGGACTTGGAAGCCACGACCTATTGGCGTCGCGTAAATCGTCGACTCCAGCCGCAGGTGTCATATGTGAATATTCAAACGTTATACCATCATCACTACATATCATCTATGAAAGAAAATGCTCTTGCCTGTGAGGTATTCAGCATCGAGATATCACTGATGGAGTTGTTGTTGCAGTGCACATGCGACATCACGTGGGGTATGACGATGCCAATTGGATGCGGGTCGTCTGTCGTTGCCCCCTCGCGGATTTGTAATAACGTCACCGTGACTTGCCGAGGAGCTCCCGAACGCAACAGCTCACAGCTCTGATCCCCCAACTGACTGCAGAAGAAACAGCTCTCACTACACTGCACAATTGCCTTTCATGAATACCCTCATCGCAAGGAGACCACTACTGAGACAAAAACTCGCCACCGTTACAGCTGCAGTGAGTTTTTTTTCTCTAGTGTTTGCCCGTTCAATTCTAGGTTGATTAGCTATCTGTGAGAGATTGGGAAGCTTATACAAGGTCCATAGCTCACATTCGCCAACGCTATGCATATCCAGTCGATTCCCATGTGTACGTCACCTCCCGCAAGCTTCTTGATGCCCTTTTCGTTATTAAACGCGAGAGAACGGGAGTGAGAGGCAGCAGATGGAGTATATGTTTCCATCATACTGGCATGAGATTTTAACTTGTTTTCAGGGGTGGGCAGTAGTAACAACTACGCCTACCTGGTCAAGGACGACAAGACCAATGATGCCGTCATCATTGACCCGGCCAACCCGTCCGAGTAAGTGTTTCTCCCCCATTACTCATGAATCTGAGGGAAAGAGGAAGGGCATCTTGGACTGCGGTTGCGTCGTGTATCGAGCTTAAGCTGACAACCATCTCCAGAGTGACTCCCGTGTTGCAAAATGCTATCAAGAGCGGCGAGATCAACCTCACAGCCATCGTCAACACGCACCAGTGAGACTCTCGTCCTCAAGAAAAATTCACAAACGACGCGGGGAATCCCCTCGAGACATTGTGCGCGTATCTGACATCTCTGACAGCCACTGGGACCACGCAGGCGGAAACAAAAAGCTGGTACGTCTTGGATCCCCCCCCCCCCCCCTTTTTTTTCCCCCGTCTCGCCCGGACTCACACACAGAAAAACAGCAAGGCGAGCTGGGCCTGAATAAGCTCCCCATCATCGGCGGCAAGGACTGCGAGGGCGTGACGCGGACGCCGGGCCACGGCGAGTCGTTCAAGATTGGCGAGGGCATCGCCGTCAAGGCGCTGCACACGCCGTGCCACACGCAGGACAGCATCTGCTGGTTCATGCAGGACGGGGACCAGAAGGTTGTGTTTACGGGCGATACGCTCTTCATCAGCGGTGGGTTCCCATCGTTTGCCCGATTTTTTCCCCACCAACCCATCGCCTCCTTTTCGTCCCTTGGACGGTGACAATGCGGGGCGGGGTTTGTCTCTCGATAATCATCACCATCACGAGGGAGAAGATGCCTTTGAGAAGGAGAGGTTCCCTGTTGGGGGAAGAAGGGGCGTAGCTGCTAGAGATTCTTTTGCTGACTATCCTTCTTTACTTTCCGACAGGTTGCGGCAAGTTCTTCGAGGGTAACGCGGAGGAGATGCACAGCGCGCTGAACAAGACGCTGGCCGCGCTTCCCGACGACACGGTCGTGTTTGTGAGTTTCTTGCACCTCTCATCAAACTTGATCCAGGAACAGGATGAAGCTTGGAACAAGGGGGGGGCATCATTGCTGACAGAGCACAAACAAAGCCCGGCCACGAATACACCAAATCCAACGTCAAGTTCGCCGCGTCGGTGCTGCAGAACGAGGCGATCCAGAAGCTGCAGGCGTTCGCGGAGAACAACAAGGAGACGCAGGGCAAGTTTACGATTGGGGATGAGAAGGTATGTTGTTCCTAGTGTCCCCCCCTTTTCGCAACGACGTGGAAGTACGAGTGTAAGGTTGGGGAAGATGAGCTAACGACTGCTTGAAAACACAGAAACACAACGTCTTTATGCGCGTCGAGGTGAGTTTTTACAGGCCCTTTACCCCCGTGGAGCCTCGCGGGCACTCTCGCCTTGGAGAGACACAGAGGCTGATGGTGATATTTGTCACGAAATAGGACCCCGAGATTCAGAGGGTGACGGGGGAGAGCGAGCCCGTTTCCGTCATGAACAAGTTGCGTGAGATGAAGAATAACTTCAAGTGAGTAAGTGGCAGGTTTCCATCCCCCTCCCGTTTCATCGTATGGTATTCTTCTCCTACGGCGTCGGCCTGCTATGGGACGTGGCACTTGGGCCGGTAGTAATGCCATGAGCAAATCTGACGGATGAATAGTCCACCTCCTGATTCCAAGATCTAACATGATGAGATTGCTCAAATGGGGGCCGGCAAGTTTAGACCATAGGACATATTGCAAGAGTTTGAAGTAGGCAGTATGCGAGAGCAGTCTCTCGACCGCGAAATCAAAAGCACAGCAGCCGCGTCTATTACTACTTCTCAAACGGTGAACATCAAAGTCATCAAAACTACATCATCGCGTCACGAGCATGTCTCCCACAGGTCCTAAACGCGACAACCACAAGTGATTGAAGCGAGAATGTGAGCCGGGGAAGGGGCGGTACGTCCTGCGACGCGCCCCCGTTTGTTTAATCTTGCTTCACTGTCCACACGTGCTCGCTCTGGGTAAGAAAGCGGCAAGCTCTAGCATTTTTTAGAAGCTGTGTCATGTCATGTTTTTGGTTTTCTTTCCAAGTTCGTCTCAATGTTTTGAAGACGGTGGTTCTTTGTCTAGTCCCGCTGGGGACGAGGAAAGGAAACCACGAAGAGGGTGCCATGTTTGGCGGGTTGTGATGCCTTGCGGGTGTGGCAATGGCATGTTGCAGCTGGAGACTCCCCGAGTTGGAAGCGCCGCGTAGGAAGAGGGCATGAATAGCCGTGTGGTGTGATCCATTTTGGGGTTTGGTATGAATGCAGGATCCCAGATTTGCTGGGCGCAGGTCCGGCGCGGAGGCCGTGGAGCTTTGAGTATGAGGCACACTTCCTCTAGGCAGCTTTGACCTATGGCAGAGTGTGGAGGCGGTTTTGATAGATCCGTAAACTACTGTTCTCTTCGACCACGTTGCCTAGGTCTCGAGGTTTTTGGTGAACATGGTCCATGTGATCGGCAATGGGAAGTGAAGCAGAGAGCGAAGTGCGCGCGCAGGATCCGGTGAACGGCCTGCTTATCGTCGGTCTCTCTGTTCAATCGCAAGGCGCTAGAGCTGGTGTGGGAGGTCTCATGGTTGAGGTAGTCGACGCTCCTCACAGTGAGTGAGTGTCGTGAGGTTGTGATGGTTGAGAAAGGAAAGGAACCGTAGTTTGCGGAAGGTTTTATGTTGAATTTTTTTTGCAACGGCGGGGCGGGCTAATCGTGCGAGCAAAACTTCGCGCACATGGTCAGTGCACTGTATTCGAACACGCGCGGCTCCACAACCCATTAACGCGTCCCCGGCGCTCTTTCGTCCCGGCGCAACCATCGTCATTGACCTCCAGCTCTCAAGCACCTGCCTCGCTCGTGCTTGCGACGACCACGTTTTCCAAATCCCACCACCTCTCCCGCAGCCAACAAAACTCCTCCAAAACACCGAATCAGCATCTCAACTCCATCCAAGATTTCCAAAATGGTAAGCCACCACCACCACCCTCTTCGCAATCCTCAACCCACCCAAAACTAACACGCCAATTCCAAAAGCCCGCAAAACGCAAACCGCCAACCCAAAAACCCTCCTCCTCAACAACAGACGTCCCCCGCCCCCGCGCCTCCAAACTCGCAAAAGAACACAACATCTCCGCCCACGAAGAGCGCGAGATCCGCGAAGCCTTTTCCCTGTTTGCCGAACCCCTCAAAGGCTACTCCAAAGAAGGCGTCATCCCCACATCAGACGTCCGGTCCTGCCTCGTCGCCCTCGGCATCCCGCCCTCCTCCCGCGACGAGCAGGCCGAGTTCGTCGATATCTTGGACCCCGAGGGCGAAGGCTTCGTCGCCTACGAGCCGTTCTTCGCCGTGTGTGCGTTGAAGTATCATCAGAGGGAAGAACGGGGCGGAGGGGAGGCGAGGAGGAGGGAGGTGGAGGAGGCGTTTGGGCTTTTCACGGGGGCCGGGGCTGGCGGAGGTTCTTCGGCGTCGGGTTCTGCTGGCCCACGGGATGTCATAACGATTGCGGACCTCAAGAGGGTTGCTGCCGTGCTTAGGGAGGACGTCAAGGACGAGGTGCTGCGGGATATGATCCTCGAAGCCAACGGCGGCGCGGGCGTAGGCAAGGGAGTGAGGAGGGACGAGTTTGAGGAGGTTATGCGGCGGGCTGGGGTTTGGCGATGATTGCGCGCGCGCGTGCGATCTACCTCACTGGCTGGGTTGGACGTTGAGAGGCTTCGTGGTCTATGTGGCGGGTTTGGTCCTGCATTATACCCCATTGTGCTGGCGTTTGGGAGGCACGGCGATTGCATTTTCCTTCTTTCATTGTTTTAGGGCGCGCTTATAGCATCTACGGGCTACTTCTATTATCATGGTTCGAACTTCAATCCCACGGCTTCAAGGTCCACAATCCACACGAGTAACTGCAATATGCTGCAGTCCCTGGAACACTTTGGTAAGTACCGGTGGTAATGATGATTCTATCTGATCTCGGTGCAGCCCATATGGCACCCGTGGGGTGTGATATCTTCATCGCCCCCGAGAGTTTGTATTTCCATGCTAATAAAAGAGACAACAAGAAAACGCCCATGACATATGCTTATTCCGGCCTTGTTCCTTGTGTGTTGGTGCGTTGCCAATTACCGTGGCCTGAGATTGAGTACGGACTTAACCTGATTTGCCCAACAAAACAAAACACATATAAATTCCCATTCCCGTATATTTGGTGAGATTAAGACCAAGTAAGGTTCCTCCTCACCGCTGTGTCTGTCACTGGATGGGGGTTGCCTTTTGTGCAGAGAAGAGAAAGGGCTCAGGAGGGGGATTCATGCAGAGGCCACGCTGCTGGGCCTCGGAGCCGCAGCAAAGACCCTCTCAGATCCCAGCAAGGCCCTAAAAGGGGGCAGAGTGCGGAGGGACGCGGCCGGCCTTCTAAGCCGGCGCACCTCCGGCTGCAGCCTTGGCCTTGTCAGCGGCCGCCTTTTGTGAGTCGATAACGACTTGGAGCTCGGGAGGTGCCTTGAAGCCGGCATGGTCCTGGTGACGCTTGTAGAAGTAGTTATCGGCCTTGGGGCGCAGCTCGGCGGGGAGCTCTTCGAGTACGCATTCCAGGATAGCATCGACGGATTTCTGCTTGGAGCCGTCGCGGTGCCAGATGGAGATGAGGTGGGAGTTGAAGCGGACGGACAGACCAACACCGCAAATCTGGTCGTCTGGAGGTAGTCAAGGGTTAGCTTAGTTGCGCTTGTGGTGAAGGAGATGCAAGAAGACACGGAAGAGAGGGCGACATACTGTCGTCTAGTACGCTCTGCAGCTTCTCGCCAATGGCAAGAAGCTGAACGCGAGTCCACACATCGGGACCAATGTTCTTGGGCACACGGAAGGTCCAGGCGCCGCCGTTGATGTTGCGGCGGTCCTCCCAGATGGGCTTGAAGCCCTGCTTGAAGAGGTATATGGACTCGCGCATCTTGATCTGATCGACGGGTGTGTTGTTGTTGTACTTCCAAAAGTCCTGGACGGATTCTATCTGCGAACCAAGCTGTTCAAGCTGCACCTTGTACTCCTCATCGTTGCCCGACTTTTGCTGGTCCTTTGCTTGTCTGGAGTAATGAGTATTGGGCGTTAGTCTTGAAAGCTTCAGGGGTGGTGGGGGTGGGGTTGCGCAAGATCTGGGACAGGCGCCTGAGGACAGACACTGTGGTAATTTCCAGAGGAGCACTCACTTGTCAAAGTAGACATTCCAGTAATGTTGTGTGGGCAGAGGGCGCATGGCCTTGAGGAAGTTGCGCTTTGCATCGTCACGCTGGTCGGCCGGGGAGCTGACACTGGGCGAGTTGGGGTCGGTTGTGCTCTGGGAAAGCCCCGACAGGCCACGGGTGAAGAGGGCAGGTCTGGCGGCCATGGCGTGTGAAGTGGTTGGGAGGGCGGTGGAAAGGGGGTATCGAGATGAAAATGCACAGGAAGGGCAACAGCAGGTGAAGTCGCAGCAGCAAGAAGACGGAAAAGGGTGTCGAGTGTTGAGTCGCAAGGCAAGTGTCCGGTCGAAGGTGAAGTTGAGGTCGTATGTTGCGTCGCTTGCCCGCTGGACCTGGTCGGGGATCGGGGGTCGGGTAGGCGTGACCGAGAGAGGTACCTTAAGAGGGACGACGGACGGGACACAGTGACAAGTTACACGCTGCCAGACTGAGATGCCCTTGCTTTTTTGAGTCGCTGGTCGTTGGTTGGCTGAGTGGAGTGCGGCGGTGCCTAATGTAGCAACGAGGGGCAGAAGTGGGCAGGCCGTTGACGGGTCGGGGGACGGGGCACGCTTAAGTGCCTGAGGGCCGGCGTCCTTTACTGTATAGTTGCTGTGTGCTGGTTGCTGACTTGGCTTGTGTGTGTGGTAACGTGGTTGTTGGCCCGGTAGGAGAAGACGTGGAGAGAGACGGGAGGCTTGGGCTTGTTTGGAAATCGCCAATGAAAGGACCGGTTTGGTGGGTTTCTTGGACTTGTCTGGGGGAGTACAGATACAGCCTGTTCGTACGTATCCGTAGTCTGTAAGGAGTATCCGTATTGGCAGATCAGACAGCGAGATGGCGCGGGGAGGGGAGATTTGATTGTCAGGAACAGATGCCCTTGTCTTGCAGCTTGCTTTGGCGCCCGGTGGTGTTCCTCTCAAGTGTCAGTTACCTAGTGCCAGGGACCCGACAGAGGGACACAAGTGGACCAGAAGATACCTGTTAGACAGAACAAGGCGTGACGACTGATGACAGCAGCTGGGGATCGGGTTCCTTGCAACTCTGAATGACTCGACGGTTGTATTCAGGGAGTTGGTGACAAAGAATCGTAAAGATGCAACAGGACGACGACCGAGGGAGAGGCGGTAGAGAGAAAGGGAAGGAAGAGACCCGAGGACGAGTCCGCGGCGAGGTAGGGGTATTAAGCAAGAAGCTGTCCATCTCATTTCATCCCATCTCTCGTCACGGCGACACTCAAGATACCTCGATGGTGCTCCTCTTTCTTGTGCTTCAGAGCATGGAGGGCGGATACATTCTGCGAGGTACCTACACCACAGGGGGCATCAGAAACCTAGGGCGGCAACACAAGACGACACTCCAGGCGGTCCCAAAGAGCAGGGCATCTTTGCTATGGGCGGGATAAGTAGAGGGCGGGAGTCTAGGAGATCTGTCTGGATAAGGTAGAGTGGGCAGGGAGCTTCGAAATCCGGTCAATGGTCACTCCGGGGCTTAGATCTGAGGTCTGAAGCGCAGCAGGACAGGGCACCTTGGTCCTGTGGGCAATGGCATATGAGCCCCGAGAGAACAAGTGAGAAGTGAGCAGGCTCCAGACTCAACTTCTCAAAAGAGTCGTCAGAATCTCGACGGGGGAAAGGGGAAAAGGAGACGGGACGATACACGAACCGTCCGAGTGTACAATGTCCAGTATTTCCTGGCTGCACGGGTACGTACAGATGCACATGTACCTTAGGTACTCTGCAAGGTACAGGCGAATGAGGACGTCTCGGACGCGATTCCTGCTCCTGCTTCTGCTCCTGCTGCCCATGTGGTGGTGGTGGAAGGAACCTGCCGCTGCACACATGAGGCACGCAAGCGAAACGGCAACGGCATCCTCCTGCGGTCCTGCCGTAGCCTGCCGTGTACCTAGGTAGGTACGGACCCAAGGTGACATTCCGCGGCAGCCGTCACGGCCGTCCGTCCCGATCTGACTGTGATGTCTGGAGACGCTGGAACCGACTGGCATTGGCAACTTGGCAAACCCAGAGCCGATGAGTTCATCAACGGCTGGGACGGTATCACAGTAGTCGATCCACAGGAAGCGAAGAAGGAATCCGGGAGATGGTACTTAGAACTTTGGTGGGAACATCTTACCGCCCTGAAACATCCAGCCGCCGGCGCGGCCAGTGATAAGTCGCGGCGACGAGGGTGGACAAGGGGAGCAAAGACCGGATGTTCAGGCTCACGTTCGAGAAGGAAGGTTATTACCCACGTTACTCCGTAATACCATACAAATACAGCTGTTCTTTTCGGTTCGGCGGTTCCTGAGGGTGGTGTAAATGAGCAGGGTCGCCGCCTGGCAGGGGGGTTTTCCAGCTTCCAGGAACAGGGACCAGGAACGAGGCGTGTGCCGCCATGGGATTGCAAGGTGCCTCACGCGCAGATGTCGTTGGAAACCGCAACTTACGCAACCTCCCCTCGAGTTTCCAACTTGTCGAAGAGGAGCTGATCCGAGCGAGGCCAGGTGCCTTGCCTACCTCGATAAGCAGTTGCCTGCCAATAATGGTCCAGAGCATATTGTAAACTGACTGCAAGCCTGAATTTGTCTACCGTGGAAGAAGGCACATTCTTCTGGATACCTCAGTCAACATGTGTCCAGCTATGACCCTTAACATCCCATCCAACGTCTGAGCTGCTCAACATTATCAAACGGAGCGGAGAAGGAGATGCACCTACAAGATCAATTGACTCTCGGAAAACTTCGTCATAGTCACACTAATGCACGCTCTCTAACCACTCGCACACTTCAAAGCTCGAGAGTCGGGTTCGACGCCTGGCTCAACTAACAGCCCGTTCACTCAACCTTTTTCTCGCGCTCTTCGCCCTTTTGGCAATCCTCTAGAAATCACTCGCATATCAGACAGGAACGAACCCCTTAAAGTCAAAAAGGAAGAAAACTTAAGATGGATCTCGAGGACGGTATATCGCAAAAAGCTGCGACGTTGAATATCCGAGACGTGTTGGCTCCTACGAATGCATCCCCGCGGAAAGCACGGCAAACAGGGCCACACGACGATGAGCCGCCGCCATATACAGACCACGAGTTGACTAGCAAACTAACTCCTCACGATCTTCCGTGACGATCAAAACATTGTAAGGCAAACCAACTGATCGCAAGCTGCTTCGGGCAGCCTCGCCGGAGAAGAAAACTAAAAACCCAAACGGCGTTTGCACCCGAACTATACTTAGGGAATAAACATCAAGCTTCATCCAATACTCAGTTCAACAGTCCATATATGTAAATCGAAAAAAGAGGAGGCGCAAAGCCAATCTTCACAACAAATAGAGCGCATTATCAAGTTTGCGATTGCGAGAGCCTCTCGAATTGGCACACCCAAACGAAAGCCGTTTACCTCGATGTCCATCCAACTCTCAAAACTCCCGTCGGACATTGGATTCCTAGGGCTGGCAAGTTTGACACTCAACACGGACATAGACGCACGTCAAAGTTTCGACGGCCAACGGCTTCCGGAGCACGTTGTCCGCCGTCGAAAGAACTAAACCGCTGTCTCGAAACTCCTCCCCCTGACAATGTAGTTCGCTGGCTTGCTTCGCCGTCGTCTCTTCCGGATGCTTCATCCATGCCAACCACAAACCCTGTCTAACCCCAACAACGACATCCCTCTTCGGCTCTCGACGATCGGCGTATTCCCAATTTGCAGTACTCTCAATGGGACAGTTGACTGTGTATTTCTAGAGATGGCGCAAGCGGCGCGTAGCGGCCCCCGACGGCCCTCCCGCGCCTTGCTCCATGCACCTTGACTTGTGAAGCACCGCCAGAACGGATCCCCTGTTTGAGATCAATGGGAACAAGCAAAGAACACCCGCCCACTTTCCATGAGATCTGACAGGCCGGATCGTGTTCCTGCGAGTTTCAATCGTGACGTGTCCCGACAGAGGAAACAGCCATTTATCCACACTGCGTTATCATCACTGGTCTCAACCCAGTACGAGAGTCTTCATGTGCCATGTACTATGTGTTGACTGCAGACTATGGATTCTGTCTCTCTGTCTCTCTCCTAAACAAAGTAAACCCCGAAGAACAAGAAGGACTCCCCAAACACCATGCTTACCATTGTCGTCTTGGCGCTTCGTAACAATCAATAGCCGAGCTCTGTCGCCCGCAACTCATTCATCAAACCCCCCTACACATATAACTTTAGAAGTTCATCTTGCTTCCTGCAGATGGCGCCTCGCCGACCCAGCGTTCTTTGTCGTCTCCAATCTTCCTTCGGAACATGCCCAGATCGCTCAGCAGACTGCGCATGTACTCCTGCATGTCGCTGGCATTATCCTCCATAACGTCCGAGTCGTACGCCGTGTCGTCCGAGTCGTCGTACAATGACTCGGCGTCCTCGCCATTCTCCTCCTTGCCCTCGAGACCCGCCGACCTGGCCCTCTGAGCCTCGTCCTCCACTTCCTCGGCCTCCGGCGGCTTGATCGTGACGGCCGGGATCGGGTTCTTGAGACTCTCGAGCGCGAGCTTGAGATGCAGCCGCAAGGCCTCGTTCTCTGTCTGCAGGCTACGAATTTTGCCCTCGGCGACGAGACTGCGCTCCTCCATCATGCGCTGCATCGTAGCCACGTGGTTCTGGTACTCTTCGAGCTTTTCCTCCTGGTCCTTGGTATCCTTCTCCCGCCGGCGCGATTCCGACACTGACAGCTGAAGGGCTCGGATCTCGTCCGCCATAGCTGCGATTTGGGCATCGCGCTCCGCTGACGAGATCTGGTCTTGGTTGACAACCGCGCGCGTGCGGATGCGCTTGGCTTGATCTGCGTAGCGAAGCGTCGACAGAGTCTCCTCGTAATCCGACGGCGCGATGCAAGCAATCATTGCCGTTTTACTGTTGCCTCCCAGCGAATCCTTCAACAGCCACGTGAGAATTGAGTCTCGGTACGGCACGACGTCTTTGCTACGCTTTCTCGAACCCGCCTTGGCATCGGCGAGCGCTCCTATCACTCGGCCAAGGGTCGTCAGCGACTTGTTGATGTTGCTGCCTTCGCGAAGCCGCTGGCCTGTTGCCTCGGTCGCCTTGGCACGTTCGCTGCCAGCCAGATCGACCAGGCGGATACGCGAACTTCTCTCCGTCGTCTCGTCCGTTTCCATGTCATGGTGGATCTGCTTGAGCATGATTGTGAATACCGCGTGACTGCGACTACTCGTGTCGTTCATTCTGGTGCTGGCCACGGTTCTCGACCTGTCTCCCATCGTCATGTATCGCAAAATCTCATTGAGATTGCGGACAGGAACCTCGGTCAGATCCTTGACGTACGGTCCTTCCGTTGGCGACTCCCTGATTTTGAGATAGTACGGCGGCTGGTTAGCCACAACCGGGACAAGCAGGTCCCGGACGTGCTCATTGTAGACCTCAAAGTATGACACCCTGACGTTGTAGGAAATGTTGGGCGTCTCGTTTTGCGCAGATTCGATTCGCTCGAAGAGATCCTCGCACGTTCGAGGAATCAAGCCCGGCTGGTCTGGTGTTCCCATCATCGTATAACTCTTTCCGGAACCTGTTTGACCGTAGGCGAAGATGCATGTGTGATAGCCCTCAAAGTTGTGGTCAAGGAATTCCTCGCCCAGACTGTTGTAGACGTCTTCCTGGTGGGCATAATACTTGTCGCTGAGATCATGACTCCAGAAAGAATTGTCGAATGTAAAATTCTTTTCTTCGATAACCTTTCTCGTCTTTGCTTTCGCGTTCGCAGGGTCGCTGTCGTTGGGCACGAGAAGCGTCGTTTGCTGGGTGATGGGGTCCATCTCCACTAGGCACTCGGCACCACGCTCGATTTCTGGTTTCTTTCATCAGTCTCCTTCTTCTTTTTCTTCTACGTCGTTCTAGAAAGCCTTCGACATACCTCTGGGCAGAAACGCCCGCACTCGGACAACGACACGAACATTGCCTCCCCCGTCCATTCTGACCGGTCCATCGTGCGACCGCAGAGACGGGGTTGAAGCAGACGAGTAAAGAGCCGGCATCTCATAAACCGCTGGCGGTAGCAGTCGATGATCGAGAGACAATCCACAAAGGGTCTGCTTCAATTCTTCAAAAATTGCGTGGTATCGTTGCCTTTGCGAAGCCCACATCCCAACTCGAGGCGGTCGGGCTTGTTTACTCGGTTGCCCAATTGGGAGGAAAACTGGTGGGGCCGAGTTGCCGGGGCAGTGACGCCACACTAGCTATGCGGTGTGTTGTTCGCCTGGGGTAGGAACGCAGGGGTGTTGCAAGTACGTTCTTGGAAAGTGTCGTCGATTTGCTTTTTGTTGGCAAATGAAATGAGGGAAAAGGGATTCAGATTCAATTGGGTAAGTGATGATTTTTTTGGTCTTTGCTAGACGGAGGAAGGGCCGCTTATTCACAGAGATGCGCAAAAAGGCGTCGGTGCCGGTGTGTTGTGGAAGAATCAGATGACAGACAGTCGTGCTCCATTCGTGTAAACAAATCGCCCTGCAAACAAAAGTCTAGTGTACACTCGGCACCTCTTTGACGGTGTCAACGCCCAACCTGTACCAAACGCCACGCAGTCTAGTGTATTCTATAACTGTTACCGACGCAAACCAAGTTACGGCCGTCCAAGCCCCTTGCCCAGAAGCTCTGAGCCCACCTCTACGATGATCTTCTCATCTGGAAATTGCTTCTTCTTGGCCAAAATCGTGTCCTCCGCATCCATCGCCCTCAGCAAATCCGAGACCTCACTGTCACTTGGTGTGCAGTAGACCAAGTTACCCAGTGCAAGAAGCATACCCTGCAGTGCCTCTGGCGAAGACTCCTCTTGTCCAATGGCTTCTAACACCGATGCAGCCAGCTCTACCGCGTCGCCGTCTGGCAACACGTCTCCAGGCTTCTCACGCCTGACTTTGTTGCTGAAAAGCGCCAAATTGAACATGAGGGACGAAGCGGAAACACGAACATTGTTGTGGCTGTCGTCTAGGAAACTGGAAGATATTAATTGGATAACGGGTGCTCTCAACGTCTCGTTTCGTAGAATTTCCTCCGGGAAGAGAGGCGTAGAAAAGAAGTTGCACGCCATTTGCAGTGTAACCAAACGCAAAGCGTACGGGCAGTCGCTGTGTGAGTTGACGAGTCTAAGGATTGCCAAAACGGTCGTGTGCCCCTTTTCCTCAGCAAAGTAGCCGCTGAACCTTGCATCGACGAGCGCACATCTAAACAAGTCGACGATGGTGAAGAGAATCTCAACAGGTAACGTCTGCACTGATTTTTGCAAGAATCCCGAGAATTCGCCTAGGTTCGGGAGGACTGCGGCCGCGGCGCCCTGCTTATCGCGGGCCTCAATGAACTGCTTGGTTGCCTGCACGGCTGACTCGTCTGCTGCCGAACCCATCTTGCCCAGAAGTTTGGCCAGTGGCGGTACTTTTGAGAACAATACCGGCTTTGCGTTCGGGTTGGAAAAGCTGGGTAGTTTGAGGGACTCATGAGGGTGCCGAGGCCAAGCCATCTGTAGCAGGAGCTGGACGTTCCCCCGAAGAGCAGCAGGATCAGCGCCTGCCCACTCATTCTCCTTTTCTCCATGCAAATAGGTGATGAATGTCGGAGTTGCTCGAGGATAGTCCTTTCCGGGAAGCGGCGTCAATTGGGCCACGTCTACTTTGATGAACATCGCTTTGCTACCTGCCTCTGCGGATACCTCGTCAAATATGGGTGAGATGGCCCTGCAAGGTGGGCATGTAGCGGAGGTGAAGAGAACCACAGCGCAAGACTTTCTCGCAGATTCAAGGGCTGCATCTAGCTCCTGTGAGCTACTCACAATCCTGATGTTTGATTGGGGTTTTGTGGGTTGTGGTGCGGATCCGTATCCTGGAGGAGTTGAGTTGTTCTGGATACCAAGGATTGAACCATTTTGTCTGTTGGAGTTTATGACTTGGTTGAGTTGAGGCATGAGCATCCTGCCCATTGGAGAGCTGAGTACGGCATCTGGCATCTTGATGATATGTTCTGGGATGCCTTTCCCAAGCAGGAACTGAGAAAATGAGTCTGAGAAGTTGTTGCAGTTGTGTCTCCAGAGATCGTAGGCCTGGTGAAACGTTAGCCTTTGTTAATTCAAACATATGTTGAGCCCACCTCGGCTGTAAAAATTGGCCTTAATGAGTCTAGGAACTCTTCAATGACCTCCATGGGTAGTTCTGTCTTTCCAAGGAAGATACGCTCCATAGGCTGGCCCAGATGAGATGTACCCGGAGTGATGTCAACGATGCCACCATCGTAGACGTACTCGCGTCCGTTGAGTTGGATGGATGTGTGATAGATCGCATCGAGGTGAAATCCAAGCATGCCCTGGGACATTTGCCGTGCAAGCCCGCGGGATAGGTCGTACGTTAAGAGATGCACGTCCATCTTGAGAGGCTTCGCTCGGTCTAGTCCGGGATCTGGCTTCTTTACTGGGAAGTAATGCAGTTCAGTCGAAAAGTGGGAAGGTTGTATCTTTGTTGACTGATGGAAGGTAAGATTGAAGCTGTGTACGGAAGAGAGTTTGATCTTGGATTTCTTAATTTTCTCTCTGGAGGATGCTCATATCTATCATTACGCCGGAGGCAACAAGACGTAGTCGTAATAGTTATTGCACGAGAAGCTTCCAGGGTCCGGTCACAGTGTCAGATCCGATGGAGGCAGCGCCACACGTGGCTTGGAATCTAAGGTAAGGTACCTAGGTAGGTAGGTGCCGACTAATCGATAAGATGCATATATCCACCAGCTGCAGATAAGGTGCCAGACTGCAGTACGTAATCTTAGGTAAGCTCAAATGCCAGCCGTGCCTTGACCACAAGCTGATCACCTCAGGAATGATCAGAACATGCCTGGCAAATGGGCCCTACCTTAATGCGTGGGTGAGGTGCCGTGTGAAGGAGCGACTGCGCAATTTAGGGGGCGTAGCAGGGAGTCAGTGGCCCCGCCCCCTAATCATAGAGCCGGCCATTAAGGTGAACGCGACAGGAGGATGGCCTCCAAGGTCAACATTTCAGTGGGCTCGCGTTGTCCCCGCTGGCGCACCTATGCACCCAAGATTAGCAAACTGCCAGCTCAAGACAGGGATGGCTGGATTTTGATGACCTCTCAGAAAAGAGAAAATCTGCAATTGCCATCGAGCCCCCTTCGAGACCAACCTAATCCAACCGTACCTTGCATCTCCTCACCCCCCTTGGACGACGTCTCCCTACATATACGACTTCTGCACTTTTCTCTGGGTCCAGTGCCTCCATCCCATCTCGTCCGCTCCTTTTCTTCGGCCATCCGCACCTTTTTTCTGTTTCCTTGAGTCGCCCCGTGCTGCTCCCTTTGGTAATCGGCCCTCGGTTCAGCCTAGTCCACTCCTTTGTCCCATCTTGACGCCGCTGTACCTCGAATGCGTTACTCTGTGTTCCCCTAAGCACCTACGACAAGCGACCAATGCGAAGAACATCTGTGTCGCTGCCGACGAAGCAACCCGCGCGAGATCCACACGAAAAGCCTGGTCGATTTGCACCCGCTCAACGGAATACTGGCCTGTTCGCGGCGTTCAGAGATATGTCTCAAGCACAGAAGACGAGGTGGATGAGGACGGGCGCCATCGCCTTCTTCGTCGTCTTCCTCTTCTGGTATCTGTCTCCTAGAGGCGTCAACGTCTACAATGGCGGGGGTAAGTCATGGCTCAGTGAAGCCCATTGGATCAACTTGAAACTAATACATCTACAGCAGTATCGAAAGGCGGCGCTGGTGGCCAGGTCCCTGCCGATGCTTCGTACGGCACTGACAAGTGCACTCAATCCAGCTCCAAGTCTAAGCCCATCGTACAGTACGTCCTGATGATCGACGCCGGCAGCACTGGATCCAGAATCCACGTCTACAAGTTCAACAACTGCGGCGCCACCCCCGAGCTGGAGCATGAGGAGTTCAAGATGACGGAGAAGTCAGTTGGTGGTCTCAGCAAGTACAAGGACGACCCCGAGGCTGCTGCCGCTTCTCTCGACGCTCTGATGGAGGTTGCCATGACCAACGTTCCCGACAAGCTCAAGTCCTGCAGTCCTGTCGCGGTGAAAGCGACCGCTGGACTCCGCATGGTCGGAGCTGAGAACGCCGAGAAGATCCTCGCTGCTGTGCGCAACCGCCTCGAGACCAAGTACCCCTTCCCCGTCGTTGCCAAGGAAGATAACGGAGTTGCCATCATGGACGGCGCCGACGAAGGTGTCTACGCTTGGATCACTACCAACTACCTCCTCGGCAAGATTGGCGGCCCTGACAAGAGCCCCACCGCTGCCGTCTTCGATCTCGGCGGTGGCTCGACCCAGATTGTCTTTGAGCCCACCTTCAAGGGAGCTGCGGACGGAGGCATGCCGGAGAAGCTCGCCGAGGGTGACCACAAGTACGACCTTGCCTTTGGTGGACAAAAGTTCGAGCTCTACCAGCACTCCCATCTGGGATATGGCTTGATGAGCGCCCGCAAGGCCGTGCACAAGCAGCTGATTGAGGAGATCTTTGAGAGCAAGAAGTCCGACGACAGCTGGGTCAAGCAGCCCATCATCCACCCCTGCATTGCCCCCGGCATGGTTAGAGAGGTTGAGGTCGAGCTCGACGAGAAGCACCCCCTCGGCAAGACTGTCACCTTTAACATGACCGGCCCCTCCCAGGCCGCCCCCGCTCAGTGCCGCAACCTCGCCGAGAAGATCCTGAAGAAGGAAGAGAGCTGCAAGCTTGCGCCCTGCTCTTTCAACGGTGTCCACCAGCCATCATTGGCCAAGACCTTTGGCCGCGAGGACGTCTACATCTTCTCCTACTTCTACGACCGCACTAAGCCGCTCGGCATGCCCGACTCCTTCACCCTGCGCGAGATGCACGACCTTGCCAACTCCGTCTGCGGCGGTGAGAAGTCTTGGGATCTCTTTGCTAGCATTCCTGGTGCCATGAAGGAGTTGCAGGACCGTCCTGAGCACTGCCTTGACCTCAACTTCATGATGGCTCTTCTCCACACCGGCTACGAGATGCCTATAGACCGTGAGGTCAAGATTGCCAAGAAGATCAAGGGTAACGAATTGGGTTGGTGCCTTGGTGCCAGGTAAGATTTGATTCATCGAGTGGAAAGTTTACAGAAGCTAAAATATCACAGCTTGCCTCTTCTCTCCCCCGGATCTGGTTGGAAGTGCAGAGTCAACCAGGTCAACTAGATGGGTGACCTAACTGGCGACAAGATTGCGCAAGCCTCCCCTGGTGTTGGCTGGCTTGTAGTATTATAGATTTTTAATTCCACGACAGAAATGGGAAGTTCGATTACGAATAAGTGTATTTGAGAACAACGAACGTTACAAGGTAGATGCAGGAAACGCATCAGTACACGGATCGACGGCAGGCGTTCCATGTCTCGAATGGTTTCCCATGGGTATCAAGGATAAAGACTCGTCAAGACGTAGCTATTGATTAGAATCAACCACACTCGCTGGACAAATAGTCAGATTTGCCTTCAAAGCGGTGCCGCCACCATGTTTATCACGTCTTCGATTACGTCCTCGGCGCCCACGCCTTCAAGAATGGATTCGATGGCTTCCTGCTGGCTGCCCCACTGCATGCTCCTTTCCTGTTTTGCGTGCACGATCCGGATCCGATGCAGATAGATTTTCCTAATAGCCAAGTGAACGAGAGCCGGCGTCACAAAGTCCAGGCTATGCAAGGGGGCGAGGCATCTCAGCAGCTGGTCGAGATGCTTCGTTGCAATCGGTTCGATGCCGCCGGCAACTGCGCGGTGCATCCTCAGATATGTGACAATGTTCATTTGATAGCGTAGCACATCCACGTTTACCTGGACTTCTCGGCTCAGCTTGGCCAAAGACGCGATGTCCTGCCAAAAAGTTAGCCGCAGGGGAGACCAAATACCACGCGAAAGTTCACTTACACCTTCACTTAAATGGGGATCCTCGCTGACGGCCATAGTCTCCTCGTGGATGCTCTTCTTCACCACGCTTTCGGTGCTGGCAGTCTCGGCATCGTCAGCTTTGTCGTACGCTTCATCCAGGTTGGCAAAGCCGTCGTCTGGGTCGTGCCAGTGGGCGATGAAGAAATAATCGTTCAGGTGCAGCGTAACGTGAGCCTGGCCTCCGCTCTCGGCGGCCAACGCAGCCACGAAAAGGAACTGCTTGGGAGCGGTCTGGACGGAGGTGCGGGTGAAGATGCGGCGGGTGCGTAGGAGCTCGAGGACCTGAATCTGCACGGCCTTGGGGGCGCGGTCCAGGTTCCGGGCGAGGATGACATTGGCGATGGAAGAACCGGCTGCGCCGCTGGGGCCGGTTGGGCTGTAGGCGTTGACGGCGGTCAGGGGCGAAATACCGGCGCGGGAGTAGAAGTAGGAGTCGTTGCGCGTGCGAAGGGGTGAGCCTGATCTGGTGGCTGTGGGCGACTGCGCTATGAGGATGGAAGATGCAAAGTCCTCCAGGGTGGTTTGCGGAGAGCAGTCCACGATGGCGCACGTCAGACCAAAGGTCTTTGTCGCGATCTGCAGGCAGGTTAGAGATGTGAGCAGCGGGACGGCCGCAACAAGTTGGCTTACAAGCTGAAGCTCCTCGATAAGTTCATTGAGGGCGACAGGAGGAGTGCTGACGATACAGTGTTCTCGGTTGACCAGGCACAAGAAGGCGGCGAGCTCAAGGTCGCTCAGGCCGTGGACCTTGGTCAGGAGATCTTCTTCATCCGCCATGAGGATCGGGTGAGATGTGTCTCCAAGGTCCCATCAGCGCATTTTGGGCTACAAACGTAGTCTCGTGTGTTGTTCGTCCACAGCATATATGTGGTGTGCGACTAGGTGAGGTAGAGACAGGCGGGAGAGGTCTTGGTGCTCGCATGAGTTTTGAGCATAAGGTAATAAGGTAGTCAGGGCGTGCTCTTGCTGAGCTCAGTTGGCCTGGACCGTCGTTGAGTTGAGAAGGAGCATTATGTGTGGCTGGAGAGACGCTTTGCATGCAGCGGGCAAGGTACAGCGCATTGAGCAGTTCATTCCCACAGAGCCCACAGCGCCCACAGCGCCTGAGTCGTTACGTCAGCCACAATGACAACAGAAGTAACGCACCTGACGATTTTGCGCAGGTAGACACTCGGAGCCCTTCCTGGTTAGTCCCAGCACTGGAGGCAGCTCTTTGATAGGCTGAAACCTGGAAATGTGACGGGAGCTCTCAGTACCGCCTGGTTCCCTGTCAACCTCCACCATGACTTTCCGTCCATCGATCTACTGCGTATCGACCTGCACTTGACACCAACCAACCACCCCTGACCGCAAGACGCCGGTCCGTTTTCGATCACCTTGACGTCCGAACCGATAAGAAACCCAACCCGCGACCGAAACTTTCATACCTCTACGTAGAACGACCGACTGTTGACGCCGACACTTGTTGACCATCCCAAACTCTACATACTCCTCCAACGAGGCAATCGATTCAAAATGTCATCGAGAAAGAAGGTCCTTCTCAAGGTGGGCTCTCCCCTCCCAGCGCTGCAGCATATCATGGCACGGCATAATTGACGAGGTTGTTTTCGTGCAGGTCATTATCCTTGGCGATAGCGGTGTCGGAAAGACGAGTCTGATGAACCAATATGTGAGTTTCCGTGGATCAAGCAACACCCGGGAGGAGACTGGTGGCGCTGACGTGAATGTTTCACCCAGGTCAACAAGAAGTTCAGTGCAAGCTACAAGGCCACCATCGGCGCCGACTTCCTGACGCGCGAGGTTCTCGTCGACGACCGACAGGTGACGATGCAGGTGGGATTAGACCGACACAACGACTGATCCATGATCCGGACATGTGCTGACGAATGGACGACAGCTTTGGGATACGGCAGGACAGGAGCGCTTCCAGTCTCTGGGCGTCGCTTTCTACCGTGGTGCCGACTGCTGCGTGCTCGTATACGATGTCAACAACTCCAAGAGTTTCGATGCTCTGGACAGCTGGAGGGACGAGTTCTTGATCCAGGCTTCGCCACGGGACCCGGACAACTTCCCCTTCGTTAGTAGCTAATGACACTGGACTGTGCGAATCGAGGCTGATGTGCGACCAGGTCGTTCTTGGAAACAAGATTGATGTTGAGGAGAGCAAGAGAGTTGTAAGTGCGCCAAAGTGGTTGTTCTCGGTACAGTTGGCTAACGTGATTGTAGATTTCAACCAAGCGCGCCATGACCTTTTGCCAGTCCAAGGGCGGTATTCCCTACTTCGAGACCAGTGCAAAGGAGGCAATCAACGTTGAACAGGCATTCGAAGGTTGGTGCAGCGTTATCTATGAGCCTCCGTAACGACGAGTAGGCACTGACAACATCAACTAGTTATCGCGCGGAACGCTCTGGCCCAGGAAGAGTCCGAGGAGTTCAGTGGTGATTATCAGGACGTCATCAACATCCCCATCGAAAACCCCCGAGACGGATGTTCTTGCTAAGTTGCTATTGGGTAAACAGTTGGTTGATGTTGGCGAGTCGAGGACTAGGGCGGCACACAGTATTAGGACCCTGTCCGACTCGCATTATGTTTAGTCCCAGGGCCTTTCCACATATCCATTTTTGGCCTTGGCTTGATGTTGCATATCCTGCACTGGTGTGAAAGGTGTTTAGAGGTTATTATTGGAATTTGATCAAGGGTTTATTCGTCTGGTTCCAACAACTATTCGCCTTCTGTGTCATGAATAACTTATCACGCCTCCAACTATGCTTGAGTAATGGTCCCTGGGCAAGAGGACCCGCAACCGGCAAAAGGATGCCTTTTCACAACATTCCATCTCAACTAACAAGCGCAGGGCCCGGGTGGACAACCGTCTGTCCCATCATGTATTCATCAACAGTCCGAGCTGGCGGATCATTCTTGCCGTCCGTCATCAGACTCCGCTTAGAAGAATGGATCCGAGGCTACACTAAAGCCCCAAGGCTGGAAACCGGCACTAATTCCAGCCTGGCAGCCAGTGCTCTCTGTAAGCTTCATGCGAGGCGTCATGCTTGGCTTTGTCCAGCGGCGGCAGCCTAGAGGAAGAGGAGGTTGCATCTTTTGCTTTAGGTACCTTGGGATTTAGTAAGTACCTTCCCTTACATACAGCAGAGAGACTCATCTCACTTGCTCCCTTACCTTAGCCACCTGCTATGGGTACTGAGGGCGGCTGAGACTTGAAGAAGTGGCACGCGATCGACCCACCACTATTGGTTGCCGGTACTTGGGACGAATACAGGGGGTGTTTTCGCCCGTGCCATTGAAACTCAACCTTGAAGAAACACCCTTAATTAACACATTGACACGAATCCCTTGAAAGTAAACGCTCCAGCGACGAAAAAAATAACGGACGACGCGTCTGCATCAGAGAAAGCTCGCCAGGCTTCCTCGAGTGTTCGCTTTGTTTAGAGTCTTTTCGCCGGTCTCCAGTGAATCGCTCCATAATCGTCATCGCCTTCAACCCGACGGCCCGAGAAGCAGTTGGCATACGGCATATCCGTGCCGTGCTACACATGCGCCGAGTCGAGCGACGGGACATTCGGCCACCGTCCGCCCCCCTCTGAACGCAATTGCTCTGTGACGACTTTCCGAGAGTTCGCCCTGCTCTTCGCCGACCCTGCGGTCAAATGCCTACAGCTTCGACAGCGACCCTGGATTACCTTAAGGCGGACAGTCCTCCCTGAATCCTCGAACTCCTCCTGATTACCTACCTACCTACCTCTCTCCCCCGACGATACGTCGTGCGACGACAGATTGCGAAATCGCCCGAAACGAAAATGGCACCGAGCGAGCCTATGCTGCCCGCCGCGTTGGCACCACCAGATCATGACCGTCCTCCGAGGAGGTCATTCTCGAGCACCGACAGGCTGAGCGCCTCGGTTGCGTCTACAAATCGGTCGAGATCGACGGTGCGGTCATCCGGATGGCAGGCAAAGATGGGACTGGGCGGCGTTGCGAGGCGGACGCTCGGCATTTCGCTGTTGCTCGTGACAGTGTTGTTGTGGACGATATCCAACTTTTTGGCATCTGTGAGTTTTTGGCAGTGTTGCTTTCGTTGGCGTGAACTGGCGCAAGCTGACAGTGAGGGGGACACAGTATATTTTTTCAGATCATTCTTACGACAAGCCATTTTTTGTGGTGTATATGAATACGTCGGTGTTTGCGGTGTCTCTGATACCCATGTTGGTGCGTTTTCTGATGCTGCACGGTGTCGAGGGTCTACGACGTGAGGCCATGGTGGTCTGGAACGAGCAAAGGTACGGCAAGGACCTTAAGACGGCCGAGGATGAGGAAGACACGGTGGCCGGGGAGCGCCTGCTGGTCGACGATGAGCCGAGCCTGGAGATGGAAGGGTTTGAGACAACGACGAGGGTGGAGCGGCTCACGTTCCGGGAGACGGCCGTCATCAGCCTCGAGTTCTGCATGCTGTGGTTCTTCGCAAACTACTTCGCGTCGGCGTGCCTCGAGTACACGAGCGTCGGGAGCGTGACGATCCTCAACTCGACGAGCAGCGTGTGGACGCTCGTCTTCTGCGCCGTGATGGGGGTCGAGGGGTTCACGGCGCGCAAGCTGATTGGCGTGCTGGCGTCGCTGACAGGTATCGTGCTGATATCGACGGTGGACCTGTCCGGGTCGAGCGACGAGAACCGCGGGTCGTTCCCGCACAAGACGACGGGGCAGATTGCCATTGGGGACCTGATGGCGTTTGTGAGCGCCATCATCTACGGACTCTACGTGACTGTGATGAAGAGGCGGGTAGGCAACGAAGATCGGGTGAATATGCCGCTCTTCTTTGGACTCGTTGGACTCTTTAATTTGGTGTTCCTCTGGCCCGTCTTCTTCATCTTGCACTTCACGGGGATGGAGCCGGTAAGTCACACCACGCGCCTTTTCCTCATGGACTTTGAGAGTGTCTAATCAAGGTTGCCACAGTTCTCGTTTCCTCCTACGGCCAAAATCTGGGCCATTGTCATTGGCAACTCGCTATCGTCCTTCATCAGCGACATGTCATGGGCGTACGCCATGCTGCTCACGACGCCGCTAGTCGTGACGGTCGGTCTGTCTCTCACTATCCCGCTGTCGCTCATTGGCGAGATGATACAGTACTCGCAGTACTCCAGCTGGGTGTACTGGGTCGGCGCGGCTGTGGTGCTCATCTCGTTTCTGTTTATCAATAACGAGAGCCACGAAGACGAGTCAAGCGACAAGAGCCCCGAGGCAGGATCCCGGGGCGTCTCGCAATTATGAAAAAGGATGTTCCTATAGACACAAAGTTGTAATTCGAGAGCAGACAGAGGCGCGGGGATCTAGACGTGTTGCATAGGCTAGGGCGTTAAGACACGGCGTACGGTGCTTCCCTTGTTGGATTCCGCCTGGAGCGCTGTTGAGACTGAGCTGTTTGCTCAGTCTCTTCATTAATACAATCAACTTGCATCATATCGTGCCAATCAACGCGTGTGAGACCCATCCCTCGAAATCTTGTGTCAATCATTGAAGGTCATGGTGATAGTATATGAGTAAGGCACGGCGTCAATTTCACGTGGCACGCATGGGAGGGAATGACCTCTTAACGAAGCCCATTTCCATATACCAAGGCGGATGATTCGGAAGAGCTGTCAGGCAAAAAGAGGTGGTCCCGTGTGGAAACGTAATGCAGCTGCGGTGGAGATATTGCATCGCAATGGGTGAACCCGCGGAGTTTTTCTCTATTGACTGGCCGGTCGGTCGGTGAGAGGATGAGCGCGCCGAGGTCAAGGTGCAGCTGTAGTGTGACTTTGGAAAGACTGGGAAGGTCGGTCGAGCACGACAAGACGGGATTTTGCAGAATCCGATGGCGGATTTGAGTAAAATGCGATGCATGGGGCCTTTTTTTTTCTGCTATCTTCCTTGATTTTGTGAGGGGAGGGGGGGGGATCTGCAGACGCATGGAGACAGCCGCGCAATCGGATTCGCCGCTTGGTACTTGAAGTCTCCAGAATGTTTTTGAATATATGTGGCACAGTGATCCTATACTTCCCCCCCCTGCTCTTTTTTTTGATAGAGTTGCGGGAAACTGGGAAAGTTTGCTGTGACTTTGATTTGGCGTCTTTGGCATGTGCGGTATCACGGAAGGCCTGGGATTCTTTCTTGGGTTGCATTGAGGTTACAGGTGGGCAGAAAATATCGGAAAGCAGTCTGTAAGGGATAGAGTCTAAGAAAATCTCTTGGGACTCTATCTGACTGGATTGCAACCAAACATGATGCGGAAAGAAGTACGAATTAGTTGGCGACAATTGAAAGGAGGTAAGTAAGGTGTACTCTGTTGACAAGGTGATAAGGAACCTAGCTTGGAAGGTATTAGAGGCACAAGTACACTAGAGAAAGGAGGGATCACTTGTTGGCGCCGCGGGCAGCAAGCCTGAAGGGCGCTTGACATCGTGGGGTCCTGCCAGAGTTGATGGCCAGCAGGAAAGCCGATCGCTGGGGCGCGCTTCCTCCTGCAGATGGCCCAGTCGCTATTCGGTATGCATTGGTCTAATTTATTGTACATGGCCGTGATGGAGGAGCCTACACGAGCTAAAGGGTCCAAGGGTTGCATAACTCGTGTTTCGTTAGTCTTGCCAGCTCCTTGTCCTGCTATTCCCGCCTTCCAGGTTTTCGGAGATCGAGACATAAGACATTTGGACTCATCAAGATGAGAAACGCATCAGGCATGAATATGAAGAAACCATTGGCATCTGTAAAGCGTTCAGAAACAAGGAAAAGGGCAAGCCACAGTGGACTGCTTGGCTGCGCAAAAATGTCGGGCATGCGGCGTCGCAGGCAGCGTACTGTAGCAATGGGAAAATGTTCGATTGGAATCCAGCCCGATGGATAAAAGTGGTCCCTTACGGGGCGAGACCGCGAATGATCAAAAGCCATAGGACCCAAAGACCCCTGACCCCTGACCAAATGGAGGTCCTCCACAACCCTCGCCCCCCGCCGGGTCCTCCTCTTCGCCCTCGTTTGTTTGCTTGCTCGCTCCACGGTAAGGGAGGGTACCCGAACCGCATTTCCATTTCCTTCTCGTGAGGGTTTCCCATGCAACGAAAAAGGCGAAATTTGCCATGCCGTGGCGGGGGGGTTATACCGAGGTTCTACGGATGTTCCTCTGGTGTGTATGCTGATATGATTCAAGGCTATGTAAGCTGCTCAGGCACAACTACGGATACTACTTGTCCACGAGACCTCGACGCGATGCGACAAAGCATAAAGAGATGACATCAATTTTGGGAATAGTTCCCGTCAGGCAACAGATAACCCCGATCTCCATCTCAGACATCTTCTCTTTCTTTTACCTGCACCTGCACCTGCACCTGCACCCATCACCCCAAGACCAGACCTGAGCTAACACCCGATACGATCTTGGACGTGGCCCAGTCGATTTTCAAGATTCCATGCTGGAGGTGCGCACTAATAGCTTTCCGAGCTTCTCTCGTCCAC